CTTTTTAATTTTTTTTTTTTTTTTTTTTTTTTTTTTTTTTTTTTTAACACCAGAGGTTAAACTTAGGACCTCTTGCAAAGCAGGCAGCGGCACCACTGAGCTAAATCCACAGCTTTTTTTCAATTTTTAAATTTTAAGACAGGGTCGTCTTTTTTTCAATTTTTTAATTTTAATACAGTGTCTTACTAAATTGCTAAGTTTCCCAGGCTATGAAACTTGGCAATCCTTCTGCCTCAGCCTCCCTGACATGCCTATAATCATGGTATGTGTCATCACGCCCTGGTGGAATTCTTTACTATGAGAACTTTCAGATCTAAAAGCAGAGCAGGGAATGGGTGTGACGCCTACCCAGTGCTCGCGGTCTGGGTCTGCCTTGTCATCTGCTGTGTTGTTTAGAAGCAACCGGGGACATGTGTTTCATCGGTGCACATCCAGTGCTCATCCTTAACCGATAAGAGCCTTTAAGGGAAATCCAGAGCTGCACTGCAGCTCAGTAGAGCCCGTGCCTGCATGTGTGAGGCCCCAGGTTCACCCCAAGACCCCCTCAAGTACAGTACCTATAGTACACCAGCATGTGCTATGATTAACACCAGGCCTGGTAACGTTCAGTGCTTCCTTCAGGGCTCACGTTTCTGTTTTATTTCCATGTTTGGGGCCTCAATATGGTGTGCAGGTTGGTTTCAAACTCGGCTCAAGCCATCCTCCTGCTTCAGCCTACTGAGCATCCAGAATCACAGTGGCTCAAGCTGCTGCGTTCAGGTGGTTTGGGGTGGTTGTTTTTTTGTTTTTGTTTTTGTTTTTTTCTGGTTTGGGTTTTTTGTTTTTGTTTTTTGCCACCCTTAACCCAGCTGCATTTGGCTGCATCTCCTAAGATCTTCCACTCATGGGTGTCTGTCTGAGTTCCTGCCCTGGGTATTTGTGTAGGAGTAACCCACTGTGTACCCTGTGAAGTCCCTCAGTCTTGTCCTGTGGATGTCACTGTGCCCACTGCCCAGAGCTCCTAATATCCTAAACACCAGAAATTAGGTCCAGACAATTGACTGACTTAGGTTTTTTTTTTCCCAAAAGAATACCAGGTATGATTGAAAAATATGGTGAATGTTTAAAATTTGAAGACATGCATTATAGAAAGATATTAGCCTCAAAGTCCTCTCCCTCACTTTGAACACACACTTATCTCATCCTGCTTAAACCACTTTCTGCAGCAGCTCTGGAGTCCTTTTTCATGAATGTCTTTATGCTGTACTGGCTGCTTTGATGTCCTAATTTGATTCAAAACATTCCCCCCTCGTGACCATTTTGACCTTTGGGAAGAGCCAGAAGTTGCAGGTCCCAGACCTGGCAAACAGGTGAAAGAGGACACCATCCTGTTTTACGAGCCCACCTTTCTTTTGGATGGTGGTAGGCAGTAGCATTCACTGTAGCACGCCTTGCAAAGACACTTAAGAAAGAAAACTTCAGCACTTCTGCAGAAAGTAGCAAGAGCAATGGGATCAGCATGTGTGAAGTGAGGGAGACATTTTTGAGGGACATTCGTGACCATGTCTTTCACTGTGACAAATTTTTAAAAGTTTAAACACACCACGTTTTTCAATCATAAGAGAAAGTCTGAAGCTGCAGGTGATGGTGGCTTTCCCCATACCCCATGGCCCCACGAGCCCCTGGTGCATGCCGTGCCCGGTCCGTGCGCTTAAGGTGATGTCCTGCTGTTCCCTGCAGGCCTGAGCAGCAGCAGGGTCATGGTGGCCCGCCGCCACCCCACAGTGCTGCGCATGGTGCTGGAGGCCGTGCAGGCAGGCGAGCAGCACCGTGGCACCTCAGTGGCGGCCATCAAGCTCTACATCCTGCACAAGTACCCGATGGTGGACATCATCCGCTTCAAGTACCTGCTGAAGCAGGCCCTGGCCACTGGCATGCGCCGTGGACTCCTTGCCAGGCCCCTCAACTCCAAGGCCAGGGGTGCCACTGGCAGCTTCAAGGTGAGCCGGGGGGGGGGCGGCGCTGCCTGGTCCTCCCTGGGCCTTGGCAGGGCTCCTGGGAGGACATCTGGAACCACCTACCTGTCCCAGTCCCTGCAGTGCCTCTGCAGGCCTGGGGACATCTGTGCCATGCTGGCTCTGGGTCCTGGTGCCCTCACAACTGCAGGACGCTCCCTGGGCTCCAGGCTCTGTGCCCAAGGCAAGGCTGGTGCCTTCCCTGAGGCTACCACTTCTCCGACCATCCAGGTGATAACATCCCAAGCCAAGGACCTTTCAGGGTGGCCAAGATCATGGCCCCCATGGTTTCTGGGTGGCTGATCCCAGGCTCCCCAAGTGGATATGGTGGGGTGAGGAGAGCAGTGGTTGTGCTGGCCATGCATGTGTTCCTGGTCATGGTAGGTGATGGGTGTCAAGAAGACTTGGGGACAGGGACCCCCACTTCCCATTGACACTGCTTCTGTGATGGGGAGACTGAGGCTGGGTGTGCAGAGGGTAAGCTGTGCTCTTTGGGGTGTGGGAGTGCAGTGGGGCAAAGGTGTGGAATCGGGATGGCCATCCCTAGAAGGAAGGTGTTAGGCGTTGCAATGGCTGTGTTCTGTCACCTGGACCTTCTCTTGGGGTCCTGGTGGGGTGCAGGGACACCAACGTCCTGCGTTCCCCCAACCCTCCCCATACTCCTCTCTTCCAGCTCATCCCCAAGCACAAGAAGAAGCCCCAGTCCAGCAAGAAGCGCCCCCAGACAGGGACAGCCAGCTCCAGCAAGAAGGGGGCTTCAGAGCCAGCCCAGCCCAGGGTTCCACCCAGACTGGCCAAGGCCCTGGAGAAGGCCCCCCAAGGAGGCCGCAAGGCCAAGGGCACCAGGTCACAGCAGGATGTGGCCAGAGAGGGCCCCTCAAAGCCAGTTGGGGCCTCCTCCAGTGTCTGCCAGCTGGACAGGAAGTCAAAGGTCCTGGGTAGCCAGGGCAGGAAAGGTGAGTGTAGGAGCAGGCCCAACTGTTTGGGAGGGTGGCTGGGGTCCCCGTCTAGTAACTGTGCCCAGAGTACTGTGTGGATCTGGGGAGACGCCTGTGCAGATGGTGCGGGGAGGGTAGGAGGGGAAGCACAGTCCAGGGAGGTCTGAGCCGGGGTGTCCCAAGCTGGGGTCAGGGAAGGCTTCCTGGAGGGGCAGCTGGGGCTCTAAACCCCCCACCTTCCACTCACACCAGCCCCTTCCTCACTCCAGGAGATACAGGGGCCCCTGGGACAACTGCAGCCGTGGCCCCCAAGGTAGGCTTCCCCGTTCCTGCTCCGGCAGGCTATGGGGTGCAGGCGGCCATCTGAAGCCCAGCGGCGTCTGCCCGGGGAACAGGGAGCACACACTCCTCCCAACAGAGCACGGCCTGGCTTCTCTGGGGGTGAGGCCTTGTCACCCCACTCTACAGCTGAGGGGCTAGGGCTAGGCACCTGCCCTTCACCCTGCTGTCTCTCTCCTAGGCTAGAAAACGGGCCCCCTCTCCAACAGGCAGGAAGCCAGCAATCAAGGCTGCCTCAGGGCCTGGACCCAAAGGCACCGCTGCTCCCAAAGGCACCGCTGCTCCCAAAGCCAACACAGCTCCCAAGTTTAAGGGGCCCAGGCAGGGGACACTGTCCCCAGCCAGGAGGGCCAGGGGCAGGCCCAGGCCAGTGGTCAAGGCCTCATCCTCCTCTTCATCATCCTCAGAGCCCAGGAGATAGAGGCCAGTGGGGAAGTTGGTGGCTGGGCTGGAGTTTTTATCCTTCCAAAGCACAGCAATATTTATTTAACCCTGACCTATTTATCAATAAAGATGCTGATCCCTCACACGTGGGTGTGGGTGGCTGCAGAGATTCAGGGTTGGGCCCGGCTCCCCCATCCCCTCTACTGTTTCTCAGCCATGCTGGGTACCACTGCCCTGGGGGTGGTGGGGGGACAACCAGCGTCCTGTGAGGGGCTGTGCGTGGCTGGGGGTTTGGGGGTCCAGGGAATGCGGGAGGGTGTGGACCTGGCGCCATCCCATAGCAGTGGCCCCCTGGGTGGGGGCTGGGCTGTGTAGGGGTCACTGGCATGGTTAGAGGGGTTCATGGTGGAGTAGGCCAAAGCCCTGAGCTGCAACGAGCCAGGGAGGGTTGCAGGCAATAGGAGTGCCTCATCTGAGGGTTTAGGAAGAGCTGCAGGAGGGAGGACTCGAGGAGCTGGTCCAGGAACATGATGCCATTCCGTGGGGAGGGGACGCAGCACATCCCACCGCCCAAGCTCCCTGGCTGCCCCTGTGAACTGTGCCTGGAGGGCTCCTCTGGGCTGGGTCAAGCCCTCCTTGCCTGGCCCTGTCCCAGCTGCAGTCCGGGACCACAATCATGGCGACGGCCATCCTCTGGCAGCGGGTGACATTGGCTATGCACTGGGGCCTGCACGGCCAGGTCACCGGGAAGTGACCACTCAGAGCTGAAGACTCAATGCAGCCTAGGCTGGAGGTGGCGACAAAGAGCTGCTAGTGTCACCAGGAATACAGTGAGGACCGGACCGTTGGCCCCTTCAGCCTTGCAGAGAGGTCCCAGCTTGAAGAGTGGCCCTCAGAGGTGGGGAGTTTCCCTGAAAGCAGGAGGTGGGTGGCACCGGGCTGGATGCCTTCTGCACTGAGAGCCATTCCTGGGGTCCTCAGAAGTTTAGTGGTGATGATTCTGGCCCCAGTTCACTTAGAACTAACTTTGGAATTGTACAGTGTCCTCCCGTCCTTGAGATTCCTTGGGGGCTTTTATCCCATGAGAAGCTCCTAGAAGTTAAGATTCTTCGTTTCAACCAGGCCCAGCTGAGGCAGGATGGTCTTAACATCTGTTTAATGTCCTTTAGGTTGTGGGCTGCAGCAGCGGGGAACATTGAGTGCCTTGTGGAGGTGGATGGCCGGTCAGACTGGGCGCCGGGCGTGATGTCACTGTGCTCTGTAGGGTTCCTTGGGGTCCGAGACCTGACTTAGCTGCCTCATCTGGATATGTTGCTCCCCCTGTTGTCTTTCAGGCCCACTAATGTCCAACACCTGCCTAACAGGAGGTAACCGGTCTGGGCTTACAGGGACAGGGAAACACGCGGTCCAGCATGGTCACCACAGCTCCCTTCCTGTGCAGCTCTACGATCCCCCACCTTCCCCTACCCCACAAGAGGCTGTCGCCCTACACACGCCTCTCGTGAATCTGAGGTTGCTGGCTGGGCCTGGGCAGGAGGAGACTGCAATGGCTTCCCGCCTAGGGGCTCTGCCTCTGCTTTCTTCCTGGGCTGGAGTTGGCCAGGCAGGCCGCAGGCACCACCCAGGGGACAGCTGGTGACAGGTCCTGCCCTCTGGCTTCTCCCTTTTGAAAGTTTTTCCAGAGACACCCCAACTGCCTGTGATGCTCAGTACAGGGTAGGGACGGTCCAGGCGCCCACAGTGGCCAGGCACATCTCGGGGCCCAGATGCGGGCTATAGATGGCTGCTGAAGTTGGCCACCTTCAGAGTGACCCGGGAACCACAGGGCGCCTCGGCTCGCAACACCCCCTGAGTGCTGAGGAGCTGCATGCTAATCGGGCATTGACAGGCTGTGAAATAGTTACTGACAAGGAAGATGTCACCACATGTTGTGCGAAGGGGACTTGGGCCGCAATGGTATTGGGCCCCATTCCATACTCACCCCAGCCTCCCATCCCCACACACCATGGCTTGGTCCCCTCTGTCTCCTTCCCCTCCAAGATCCTAGCAGCTTTTATTTTCTTTGTGCTCTTTTGTGCTTCCTGCATTTCCCTGGGAAATATGTAGTCATTCTAGAATGGCACCTTCCCCCTCCAAAGATCCTATCAAATATGCCAATAACTTAAATTAGAAAATCTGCTGCTTAGTAAGAAGGAATCAATGCTCAGAATAGAACATTTGAAAGTGGAAGTCGAAGCTTTTTCCTGTAGTAGCTTCAGGGTGAGGAGTTTTTAAAACAAAAGATTACTTACTTTCCCCTGCCTTGTGCACTCTCTTTAGCTCTAAGAGTTGGAATCTGTGGGATTTTGTTTCTGTATTATGGAGTTTTGGCCCCAGCTCCCGTTCCTGGTTTGGGTTTTCTGAGACAGGGTCTCACTCTGTAGTCCAGGCTGGTCTTAAACTCTATATAGCCCAGGCTAGCCTTTAAAATGTGGCGATCCTCCTGCCTCAGCCTCCTGAGTGCTGGGATGACAGGCGGGCACCATCACACTCAGGTGCCAGCTCTTACTCTTCCTGAAGGGCACATTTTTGTGGACTTGCCAAGCAGTGGGAGGAGGGCCTTGTGACCTGAACCTGGGGCCGGTGAGTCCTAGACACAGCGGTGGCCGGGAGTGGGTGGTAGCCTGTGTCTAACTCATCAGTCACTGCTCAGCACCGGTGTGGAGGGCAGCCTGTCCCGCTGGGGAGCCACCTGTGTCCTTGTCAGAAACGTATGGCTAATGACACAACTTTGAAGATGAGAAATTCAGGGCGAGCACCTGACAGGCAGTTCCTCCACCCAGCAGACACCCTTGCTCTCTACACAGTTCAGGGTGAGGGCAGAGACCGGCACTGGAAGCAGAGGCAAGTCCCACCCTGATGGGGGCACCTTGATAAGTTCCTATTTCTCCACCTGAGCTTGTTATAAAGAATGCTGGGGCTGGGTGTGGCTGAGTGTGAGCCAGGCCTGGCACATCCAGCATTGCACTGCACACGAGTGCTCGGCAGGGCCCATCCAGGGGCCCGCACTCAACTGTGACAGCTTCCTGGAGGGCCCAAGGGACCCAGAGCTAGGTGCCGCCTCTCTTTCACTGAAGACGGGAGTTAATGGCCTCGTGTCCCCCTCTCCCAGGACAAAAGCTGAGCCATGATAGATTTCCCGGCAGCTTTTATTATAAAGACGGTTCTAGTGACTCCAAGCCCCTGCAGCCGGCCCAGCCATGGGAGACAAAGCTAGGTGACTTCTCCATGCATGGAGGGGCCTGGTCAGACCCATCCTGGGGACAGTCCCTTCCAGTGTTGCATGGTGGCCCTTGCCCCGCCCCCACAGCCTCTGCACAGGTGGCAGCCATTCACAGTCAGAACATGATAATTTTTTAATATATAAAAGCTTAAGAAAAAAAAAAGACAAAGTGGTGCTATCCTTAGGAACACTTCCAGAAGGACCGAGTAGCCCAGCTACAGCCTCAGTACATCCCAGTCTCACTCCCTCCCAGGGTACCAGGATCCCTGCCTGTCCCAGGATCCCTGCAGGTATGCATGGGCGCTGCCCATACTGGGCCCAGAGCCGAAGTCTGGCCCTGCTCTGTGTCTACAGTGAGTCCTGTCCAGGTGGCAGGGAGGAGACAGCATTTGGTGACTGAGCAGAACCCAGGAGGGCCCTTCGCACATGGCTGAGGTAGTGCTTCCAAGGCGCAGCCGGGGCCCCGTCCGTGTCCCCAACCATGCTGGCACGTGTAGCCAGCATCTTAGCAGCTGCTGGGCAGCAGGGTGCATGGGGAGCTCCCAAAGGTCTGGCTGTGGCATTTGAGGGGGCAGGAAGAGGGGACAGGGCCCCTCCACTCCCAAGTTTGTGCAATCCGAGGCTCCAGGATTGTGTCTGTTCTGCCACACAGTGAGTGGATGGTGCTGTGCTCAGGCCTCACTGTAGCACTCGTAGATGTTGTCTTCCATCAGGGCCACCACCTGCTCGAACTTGTGCTGCAGCTGCGTCCTCCGGGCCGTGGGGTTGGCCTCCAGTGCTGTCACGATCTGTGGGGTGACCAGGGCAGCTGGGCCTCAGCTCTCAGGAGAACAGGCTGCCTGGTGCCCACCCAGGAGCCTTGGCTGGAAAACGTCACCAACCCATGGAGTCTTACAGTGCCAGGCGTAGGGTGCTCACCTGCAGGCGGTACCGCTTGGCGTATTTGTAGATCTCTGCCAGCGCCACGTTGGTGTTGAATTCATTCTGGTACTTCTGCGGGAACGTGGGGAGGAGGGCATGGTCTCGGTCACCAAAGGGACCACGCTGACCTGCTTAGCCTTCAGGTAAGCAAGCAGGCAGAGGCCCCAGGATCCATCTCCTCTCCCCCTGGGGAGCACTCCATCCAAGCCCAAGTCCCCTTCATGCCTACCCGAGACTCCTCAGCCAGATGGGCGTTCATCTCCTGCTCACTGAGTGGCGCCATGTCCTGGATCTGCTTGTAGTAGCCCTGCACGACCTTGCGGTACTCGGGGATCTCCTTGGCATACAGCAGCTTGTTGGTGGGTGAGTCCTGGCCGGGTGGGGGCAGAGGTGGAGGGGGTGTGGTGAGGCTGCTGTGTATCACAAACCCTGACCCCACCGAAACAGATGCAGGCTCATTGGGCCATCCCTCAGTGTCCCCATGGTGCTGACTTCCAGCCAGGCCTCTCCCATGTGTTCGGCTCAGGAGCATAACCAGGGCCTACTCTGGGAACAGTGCAGGAGTGCCATGCAGCCCTATGGGGTTACGGATCGTAGGAGCTGAGACCCAGTTTCTGGCTCAGCTGAACATTTTCCACTATGCATCTGGAAGCCACCCAGCTAAGACTGCCACCTCTGTGTCCCTCTGGGGCTATCCTCACAATAGCTGGCATCTTTTACCCTCCTGGTCATCCAATCTCTGCCCCTGGGTGCCCTTCCCCAGCCTGGGATACTGGGTCTCTCCTGTCTCAGCCTGGAAGCCCCCTCTGCCTATTCAGCTCCAAAGTCAGTCGGGTGCCTCGGCTCAGGTGGAGCCTTGTGCCTCCTCCTGCATGTTGCTCGGGTGTCCCAGTCCTGCCTCTGACCCTGCACAGTGGCTCAGGACCTTCAAGGGCTGCTGCCTGGAGGCCACACTCATGCCAGCCCAGCTTGCCTTAGGCAGCAGGGTGGGTTTCTGGGTACCCTGCCTGCAGATCCCATTTATGCCATGGCTTCTGCCCCACTCCATTGTCCCGCGCAGGAGACCCACCTTGCCCAACTGCAGGTCAGAGATGGAGCAGGCGTCGATGAAGGCCTGTGCGATGACTGTCAAGCAGGCATCAATGTGGTCGGTCTTTTCAATGTCGAACACAAACTGGGGGTTCTTCAGGATATTCACCCAGAAGCGGAGGGGCAGGCTGGGGTACAGGAACAGGTTACATGAGCCCTGGGAACCCCTGGGACCTGTGGTCTCCCCTTTCTGGCCAGCTAGGCCCTAGTTCCCCCACTGACTCCACAGTCCCCAGCTCTCTGCAGGAGCCTCTGCCAGGTCCTGGTTCTCATTAGAGCCCTGCCTGCCTGCCTGTTCTGCTCCGCACGCAGCCGGAAGCCAACATTAGCAGCACAGGGCAGTGGGTTTGGATTCCAGGCCTTGTCCTCTAGAGGCCCGAGCAGGCTGCTGACACTCCAACCCCAACCCAGGGCCACCAGGTGACACAGCAGCCGTAGCCACAAGACCCCCAGAGAGCTGAGAAGATCCTGAGCCACTCAGAAGCCCTGGGTGCTGGAGTTCTGCGCATCGGTGGAGGATTTCAATCCCTGAAGCTGACATGTATGTGTCTCAAGGGAGAGCTGAAAACAGGGCGTGGGCTCTGGAGCACTGAGGGCTGAGCTGGGCTCCACCACCCCAGGACAGAGGGACAGTGGCAGGGGACAAAACTTCTACAGTTAGGGTGGCTCCTGCCGAGGGCCTGGGTTTATAAGTGCCCAGGGAGGTGAAGCTCTTGCCCCAGGTCACAGGGCTGGAACCCGGTGGGCACCATGAGGGTCCGGCCTCCCTCTCTGGACCTGTTGGTCTTCCAGATGTGCAGCGTGTCAGGGTCTGAAATGCCCCTCTTCTCTGCCTGCTCCTCCAGAAAATCGAAGAAGTACTTGACGGCCAGAGGGGGCTTGTCCTCAGGGATGCTCAGAATGGCCTTGAACAAGTCATCCAGGAACTTCTGCAGCGTGCCCTGCGGGAGCGGTGGCCACCATCAGCCAGGGCCCTTGCAGAGCTAGGCCAGGCACCTGACCTCCTGGACTTCAGGTTTCTATCTGGGAATCGAGTCAGTGGTGGCCAGGAGTTGAGAATGCAGGCTCTGGGGGCTGATGGTGACACCCAGGCCCTGTAACCTTGGGGCCATTACCCACCTCTCCCTGGGCCCAAGCTCCCTCTCCCCATCAGGCTCACACACAGCTGACCACTGCCCAAGGAAGACTGAGGCTGAGCCCACCTTGGTGGACAGCAGACGGGTCAGGTAGATCTCGGGCAGCACCTTCTTGCGGTGGCTCTGCCGGTGCGATTTCTTGGGCTCTGCCAGCTCATCGGTGGGCAGCACCTGGGGGCCGGACAGTGGTCAGGGCCTGTGCATGCGCTGTCCCCAGCTGTCTGGTGAAAGACTGTCCTGCAGTTCCCACTGCTCCAGCCCTCCTGGCCTAAGAGCCTTTCCCGCATGTGGGGGAGGAGGGGCAGGAAGCCAGGCCACGCCCACGGGGCTGGGCCCCAGGGGCCAAGCTGGGCACTCACCAAATGGAAATACTTCTCTGTGTCCAAGTCTTTCACTGTGGGAGGAAAATGCATAATAAACAAACAGGGAGAGAGGGCAAGAGAGATAGAAACAGAGACAAAGAGGCAGAGGTGAGAGAGATGGAGATGGAGAAGGCAGGGAAGGCACGAGAATCAGGAAGTGGCCACAGCACCAGGGCCCAGCAGGTGAGCCTCGGAGACGCCAGAGCATGCAGCCCCCAGCTTGCTCCAAGCCTGTTTCCCCCACTTGCATCCTCGATGCCCCAGAGTACCTCGGCCCAGAGTGTTGTCCTTCTTGTCTGTTAGGCTCATGGCCAAAGAAGCGCCTTCCGGGATCTGCCAGGAGGAAGGCAGAGGTCAGAGGCCAGGGGACGGGGCGGAGGGCAGAGGACGGGCTGGAGGGCAGGGTGCACCTGGTAGTGGGCCAGGGTGTTCAGCTTCTTGCGCCCGTCCTCCACCACAGAGGTGTCATCCAGGTCCCGCAGGATGTAGCTCTGTGTGCTAGTAGCGAACCACTCTGGAGGTGCAGGATGGGAGGCTCATCAGGATGAGCAGGCCTGGCTGGGGCCAGAGAGGAGGGGCCCCGACTCAGACCCTCTGTTTCCTCTGTGACAAAGTGGGTTGCGGTGCCAGTGTCCCTCGCCCAGGGTGTCAATGTTAAAACAGCAGGCCGAAGAAGTGAAAGCCCCACGTGTGAAGAGCCCACATGACCTCCATGACTCCCACTGACCCCAGACAACCTGAGTGCCAGCTCTGCCCTCCCAGCCTGCCAGCCCCAGGGGGCCACCTGAGTGCACAGCCGTGGGCAGAGAGCACTGTTCAATGGAATGGCTTACAGCTCCGGGAAGACCTGAGGTTTCAGCAACAGATCCGAGACTGCTAAGGCATCCTCCTAAACCCACTCCCGGACAGGCTAAGAAGCATGGCTGAACACTCTGAACACTGGTCTCCCGCACAGCGCTGCACCCCATTCTCCTGTCCCCGAGGTCCCTCCTGCTTCAGTGAGCTGTGCCAGGTGCCCACCCAGATCCACGTCCTCGGCTCGCGGCCACTGAGAGTAGGGCACGTTCTTGCAGAAGGCCTCCAAGATCTTCTCCTTCACCTGCGTCAGTGTGTCTGTGTCCATGGCGCGCACGCTCAGGGAGTCCATGCCGCAGCCCTGGAAGGACACGTTCAGGTTCTGCAGAGGAGAGAGGGGACGTCAGTGAGCGGTGCCCGCAGGCCTGGGTGAGCAGTGGCAGCAGAAGGTGGGACTGGGTGAGTGCAAGGACTGGGTTCTCCCCTAGCATCACTGAGAGGAGAATCCAAAGCCCAGGGTCGCCCCAGACCTGGAGGATTGCCCCACCCCGCGCGGCCACCCGCATGCAATGACCCCGCCCACTCGTTGCATAGCTCCGCCCACCGCCCGCCCCCTCACCCTGGGCTTGGCCTCGATGTTCTCACGCAGCAGCCACTCCTCATTGAGTGTGTAGCGCGCCTTTCCGGTGATGGCATCGATGGAGCCCTTGTTGATCTGCTGCTTGATGGCGCACAGCAGCAGGAAGAACGGCTCCCCGACGGTCTCCTGGGGGCCGGGCAGTGAGCCTGTGGGACCCAAGCCTGCACCCGCCCTCCTCGCCGCGGTGGGACCAGAGGCCTCCTGGGTCCCAGCCGGTGGCCCTTGAGCTCGGTGGCCTCTGCTGCTCCCCTGTGGTACTGAGGTACCGTGAGAGCAGACGGGAAGGACTGAGAACACAGCACTCGGCTCCCCGGGAGGACCACGCCAGGGGCCCAGCTGAGCCAGGCCACAGACTGCACCTCATTGGGACACAAAGCCCCCCACTTCAGATCTTGGGGACCCTGGGGCGGGCAGGGTGCAAAGAGTCCTCTCGCCGGTCACTGGCTGTGCCTGTGCCGGTCCCTGCCCCAGGTCTTGGTCCCCAGGCTCACCCGCAGGCAGCTGTACATGCAGATGGACATCCAGTTGGTCAGCATCTTTTCTACCACCGACTCAGTGCGCCGCAGCATGAGCTTGGGGTTCTTGGCAGCAGAGGCGTCGATGAGGTCCACTAGCAGCTCCTTCATGATGCTGGTGTAGTACTCGAGCTTGCCATGCAGGGCGATGGTCAGTAGCGATGCCAGGCTGCACCTGCAGAGACAAGGAGTCAGCGCAGGTGCACGGGGCAGGGGCAGCACGGGGCCAGGCCGGGCCTCACCGGTCGCGAACTGCAAAGTCCTTCTGCTGCTCTAGTGCGTGCACAAAGACGATGAGGAAGTGCTTGTTGCTAAGCAGCGAGGAGAACAGGCTGATGCCCTCCTCCATGCTGGGCCGGCAGTTCTCAGGCACCTGCGGGCAGGAGGGGCGCCATGACATCCCAGCCACTTTGCACACCTCCTGGGGCAGGGCAGAGCTCATCACCTCCCCACCATGGATGCCTGGCAACAGTGGGGCCCAGAGGTGATGCGGTATCCCGGGGGTGGGGTCTCCCATTTCCAAGCTCTAGGTGGAAGAGATTTGGGGCACATGGGATGGGGGGTAGGGGCAAACCTTCGTCTCTTCCACCTCACCTGAGCAGTCAGTGCTTGCCATCAAGTCTGGATGGCCACTTGAATGCCCCCAGGGATGGGGAGCTCACTACCTTTCAGTGGCAGATTCTTTCCCTCTCTGGGTGGGACTGTGGGTTAGGTGAGTAGGAAGGGCACAGGGGTGTTCAGGACACTCACATTCCACTCTCCCAGCAGTGGGTGGGTCTCTGGCACTGGTGGACTCCCTTGTGAGCCCAGGGACTGCGACGGGAGCATGTAGCGCTCTTCATATAGGGATGAGCACTGTGGAGGAGGAGCCCAGGCTCATCAGGGCCACCTGGTACACACAACCGGCCCAGGGCCACAGAAACTGCCCCACCTACAAAGCAAGAGGCTTGGCCATGCCCAGGGCCAGGGACACCGCGGGTACCAGAGGTACCAGCGAGGGGTTTCCTCTGATGTCACAGGCACTGGAAGTAGCACGAGCCAAGGTGTACAATGCAAGAGGGTAAAGGCTTCAGAGGAAGCAGAAACATCCTGGTGTGCAGTGGTGGAGACTGAGGCTGAGGCAAGCAAGGGAGCTTCTCAGCTGCTGCTCAGGGAATAGGGAAGGCAATGGCCACGGTCACCTTGGGAAAGTAGGGACAGGGCAGTGGCCCTGGGAAGAGCAACAGGAAGTAAGGGAGGTACGGAAGGGTTGGGTGGGATTCAGTGGACAGGACAGAGGACGTGGAGACCAAGAGAAGCCACACTGGGGGTGGCAAGCCCAGCACGCCAGGAGAGTCGGGCTGAGAGCTGGCTTCTGTATGGACAGCGAAACATCCAGTGAACAGAGAGGAAAGTGGGGGAGAAACTAGGCCCGGACTTGGCAGGCAGCCAGGACCGCTGTGGATGAGAGTGTAGGTTTTGCACTACTCAAGGGGCCTGTGCTACATAAAGATGCCATGGGCCCAGCTGCTCAAAGCACCCAGAGCAGGTCTGAGGGGGCCCAGGCTGACCTTGGGGAAGAAAGTGCGGGTCACAAAGTGCTTGTATTCCAGGAAGGGGATGCCCTGGCTGCGGTTCAGCTCCTTGGTCAGGTCCGTCATGTCTGTCTGCAGCTCAGCAAAGCCTGGGGGACAGGTGGCAGATGGCCAGCCGGTCTCCAGGTGGGAGGCCACTTGCCTGTCCATCCCGCCGTCCCCACCTGCTACCTTTGCGGATCTCCTCCCGAATCTGAGACTCCATCTCCTCCATCTGCAGCAGTGTCTTCTGCCAGTAGCGCTCGGCGCGGCGGCTCTTGGTGCAGAAGACGAACAGGGCTGTGAGGGCGGGCAGCAGGCAGGGCCTCAGGCGCCAGGTCCCCACACCGCGCACCCCAGCCCTCCCTGCCTGAGGCCCAGGGCTTGGGGACCAGACAGGGCCCTCTGTCCCCTTCTTAGCAAAGGAAACGAGTGTGGAGGAGGGAGGTCCTGGGGCAGGAATGCCGGGTGACTTCTGCTTTCTCTCTCTCTAGGTTTTCCATTCCTTTTACAATGACCAGATGTCACTCGTTAACAGCGCCTTTACAGCAGTTACACTGTAACCCTTCCGAGGGCTGCGCGTGAGGAGACACACAGGGCTCTATGGTGCTCCTGGAGGAGCTAGAAGATGCGTAGCACACAGGAGGTGCTGAGGCAGGACGAGTGTTTTCCTCCTTTCATCTTCCTCTGGTTTCCCGTGTTTGGTTTGGTTTTTTTTGTTTTTTTTTTTATATTACCTACGATCGTTTTTTTAAAACTAAGACATAGTAGCTGTTCTAAGATACAGTGGACATAGTATGTAATCTGCCCGTGTCCAGTCTGTAGCTCAGTGGTTCCTCGTGAGGGGCTACCATCGGCACTAATCTTGGAACGTATTTTGTGCCTGGACATGCCCTGCACCCATAAAGCAGTCCTCCCCTCTCCTCCTCAGCTGGCACCCACATACCTACTTCCTCTTTCTATAGTCATCCTCTTCCGGACACTTAGTCTAATGGAATCACACAGGATGCAGCCTTTTCTCCGGCTTCATTACCACAATATTCTCAAGGTTTCTCTATATCACAGCACCTGTCAAAGCTTTGCTTTTTTGTGGCTGAGCAATATTCCACTGCAGGGACAGACTGCCTTGTTTATCCATTTATTATCTGATGGTCATCTGAGTTGTGTGAATCTCTTAATTACTGTACATAATACAACATTTATTTACAAAGGGTTCTGTGTGTGTGTGTGTACAGGTTAGTATTTCTCCTGGGCAATACCAAGGAGTGGAATTGCTGGGCCAGTTGGCAGCTCTGTGGCACCATTCTGAGGCAGTGCCAAGCACTTTCCAAGCAGGTGCCCCCTCTACATTCACAGTGAAGCAGGAGAGCTCGGTCCCTGCTCCCTGAGGACTCACTGCTCACTGTGCGCACGATTCTAACACGCAGGTACATCTCCCTTGCACAGCCATCTCTCCAGAACCTTCTGTAGTTCCTCAGTTACTAGAGAACAGGATTCCAAATTCCCCTGCCTGGCGTTCACCTTCCACGCTCTGCAGGACGCTGCCTCTGCCCTGCTGCCCCTATGCCCGCCTGTCTCAAGAGGCCTCCCAGGGAGGGACTCCGTACCGACCACAGACAGCAGCAGCAGGACACTGCAGATGACGATAGAGGTCACGATGGCCGTCTCGCTTCCCCCTAGTTGCAGCGTGGCGATGGTCTGGTTGAAGTTCCCCACCTGGACCTGGCAGAGGCAGGAAGAGGTTTCGGTTTCAAGGAAGGGCTATGGCTCTTCAGTGCCTGCTGCACAGCCATGGGCAGGTTGCTAACCTCTGACTCGCACCGCACAATGACCATATCTAACCCGGGACACCAGGACAAACACGATGCCTGTCAGACCTTGGTCTGGGCCTGGCCCAGCAGCCACACACTGTAGGGGCTGCCATGGTCAGGACCGTGGGAGGAGTGAGGAGGAGCCAGAGGTGGGCAGTGTCCAGGGCCTGGCTGCTGGGTCCAGTATCGGTCAGGCCGTCCTGGGGCCAGGGGCACAGGTGAACACTGAGGACCGGGCCTGTAAAGGGAGCTGTCCCATCCTGGGGCGGCAGTGTGCTTGAAGCAGTGAGCACACATGCAAGTGGGGACGGGGCAGAAAAGGGGCTGCTCCCAGGGCCCCCTCTGCTCCTCCTCCAGGACTCTGTGTTGGCTGGCAGCCTGCTCTAGATGCCCATCGGTGTGTTGCTTCTGAAAGTCAAGCCACCGTAGGCCCAGGTGGCCCACTCACTGACCCTGAGCAAGAGGTCACTGGCTTCTTGGACCTCAGTCTCCCCAGCCATCAAGTAAGGGTGTAGAGCTCTGTCTGCCTTGCTTTGCTGGCCTAGGCTACTGGACTCGGGGGCAGGGGCGAGTGCTCCGCAGAGGAACCAGGTCATACCCACTGTGGTCCCGCACTGCCCACTCCACCAAGCCTCCAGGACCACCCACTCAGATGGCTATGCCCATCACAGAACCAGGGCCCACCCACTCACCGTGATGGGCAGCTGTCCCTCCGCAGCGTCCAGAGAGTCATTGACTGAGCAGTGGATGACTCTGTCGGACACGATCTGGATGTCACAGGCCACCTGGCCGATCTTGACCTGGTATTCATGGCTCTCCAGCCCCAGGCTGTCCTGCTCCTTCTGCAGAGACAGGCGTGAGCAGGGGATGGGACAGGGATGGGATCCGAACTGCGACAGTGGGGAAGGAATGAGAAGGGATGGGGCGAGCTGCTCACGTGGATGACAAGGGTGAGTGGCTCCCCAGGGTGGTGGCGGATCCAACGCTCACGCCGTGCTGTTGAGAACTGTGGGTTGGGCAGGTAGTCCAGGTAGAAGCGGCTCCCGCGTGGCATCTCCTCAGGGTCAGGCGGAGCCTCATAGGGAGCCTCGTCTGCATAGACCCGGCCATTGATGAAGAAGGCCACGGGTGCTGAGGCGTTGTACAGGGCCCCAGGTGACGGGCAGGTGATGAGTGTGGCATTGAGGACCTTACACAGCTGGGAGCAGAGGAGACAGGGGATGGAGGGAGGACTGGTGCGCAGTCGGGGCCACCCACCTGTCCTACTGCTCCTGCTGGGTCCTCACCGTGGGCTCCCGGCCGATGCGGTGCACAGCCATGGACACGTTCTGAACCATGTGGAAGCGCTCACCGGCCACCGAGATGGTCCTGCCGCCGCTGGGGACAGCCAAGCCATCACCACCCACAGCTGGGCAGGGCAGGCAGAGGCAGGGCCAGGGCCAGGGCAGGGCAGCAGGGAGCTTGGTCTCACCTGATGGGGCTGCGGCGCGGGCTGATGGCCATGATGACCGGGTTCCTCATGTAGGAGAAGCTGAGGTTCCCGTGGGCGCAGCCCCGGCGCTCAAAGCGCACACACACAGGCACTGGTGTGGGCAGGGCACCGGCAGGCATGGTGCAAGCGATGCTGGTGGACGAGCGCCTGGGGGAGCAGGACGGCACGGTGACCTTGACATGTGCCCCCCACCCAAGTCCCTCAGTGCTGCCCAACACGGGCCCTGTTCTTCCTGACCGCCCACCTCCCGCAAGAAGCCTCCCCGGATCGCCTTCCAATCTTCCCAGCAGCTTTTCTCACAATCCCATTCATGTTTCCTGTGGTGCGTCTGCCTGCCCTTGAAGGCTGTGGTAGGCCCGGACGTGTGTACTGACGGGGCCTGGTACACAATCGGTGCATGATAGACGGGCATTTCCCACCCGGCTCCAGACCACACTTGCAGGCCACAGCCCGGCCCGGGCCTTCGCGAGGATGTGAGCCCAACGGGCGCTGACCACATGCACTGTGGTGTCTCTTGTGGGACACCTGCTGTATTTCCCCCCACAGCACCCCCACTAACTGCCCTGTCCTCAACAGGTAGGGAAACAGAGTCAGGGAGGAGAGGGGCCGGCAGACCTGGGGGGAGACCCCCAGGCTGTGGTCCCCGGGGCTCACACAAGCTCGTTGCAGGGGTCAGTATCGTTCACCAGGACCTGCAGCTCGGATCCCACATGGAGGTTGCTCCCATGGATGGTGATCCGGGTGCCACCCGCCGTGGGGCCCACGGCCGGCTCCAGGGAATGAACCTGGGGCAGCTGGGAAGGGAGGTGAGCAGTCAGGCCGGGCACTGGGCAGGCAGGGTGGTGGGCACAGTGGACAGGGCTTCTCACCACATAAGAGAAACGCTCCCGGGACGTCCCCTCCTTGGACACGTTCACGGTCACCACTTCTGAGAATGCTGCTGGGGCTGGCCCCGTGACACACACAATCCTGGGGGGACACCGGGTCACAGGGTCACAGCTAGAGATGGGCAACAGCACTACCCACTGGGGTCATCCCCACCCCACAAGTTTCTGCAGCTCTAAGACAGGAGCCACGTGGGTCCTGGACACCTGCTGGGCCGGTGGCCTCGGTATCCAGCTCCCCTGCCCTCCCTGACAGTGCAGCCCCACCTCCACTTTCCCACTGCTCTTCACTGTCACCAGAGCCAGGTGTCACGGCCGAAGGACGAGGCTGGGGTGTGGGGCTGGGGGGACAGAACTAAGGGGCTCTTCCACCACTCACTCCTCGGACACAGTGTATCTGTTGGCCAGCAGCTCGCAGGCCACGCTGCCAATCCACACGCTGTGGGCCACATCACTGAGCCGCCGGCCCAGGTCTCGGCCACGGATGGTCAGCAGGGTCCCACCGTCCAGGGGGCCACTCAGGGGCTCAATCTGCCAGGAGCCAGAGAAGGTAGGTGGGGCTGTGGGGCCTTAGGGAGTGCGAATTGTCTCCCATGTCCCACAGGCCACCTGGACCCAGGCTCAGGAGAGGAGGGGGAGGAGATGGGGCGAGAGGGCTGCCCAGGGGACGTGTGGGCAGCAGTCACTGAGCCCACCTGGTGACCGCATGCTCCACACCTCAGCCTGAAGCCAACAGGACCCAGGGTGGGCATCTGACCCCAGCAAGGCCAATCCAGTCCCCACCCCGAGTAGTGCTTTTCTATTGTTTTGATTTTGCTTGCTTCTTTCTTTCTTTAGTGGGATTGAACACACGACCCTCACAGTAAGCTACATCCCCAGCCCATTTTTATTTTGAGACAGGGTCTTGCTATGTTACTCAGTTGCCTAGTCTGGGCTCCAACCTGGGATCCTCCTGCCTCAGCTTCCCAGAGTGCTGAGATGACAGGCATGCACCCCCATGCCCGGTGAGTTGTTTTTCTTAGAATGCAGGCTAGTAAGTAACTGAGGGAGCCTGGGTGCTCACCAGATGGGAGTGGCTGGGATCTCGTGCACTGGTGGTGCGAAGTCCTGTGCCCCCCACCCCATGTGTCCGCTGTTCTCTGCTCCCCAAAATGCAGAGTAGGCTCTCTGCCTCAGTCATGGGAGACTGCCTGTGTGTGCCTGAGTGCTCACCGTTCGGATCTCGGGGGCTGGGCAGGTGCCAGGCGGGGATGGAAGGGGTCCCCGTGAGCGGCAGCCATCGCTCCACATACATAGATGGCCCAGGTCCTCACGGCCCAGGCACTGGGAGCAGTCAGGGCTGCCCATGGCGCAGTTGTAGACCACGACTGGGGAGACAATGTGCAGCATGGTCAGAGCCGGGGCACGCAGCACCTTCTCTAACCTGGGCCCCATCACTGTCACCCTCCTCTGGGGTCCATAGCACAGCTGTGGGAGAGGCTGAGGCCCACAGAGCCACAGCCCAAAGCAGTGGGGCTGGACTGCACCAAGCCTGAGTGGGTCCCTGTCAGCGGTCTCAAACCCTGGAACAACCCCCGGAAGGGCAGGGAGGGTCTGGGGCCATCATGGTTCACATGTAGTTCCCCTTGGTGTGCTGATTCAGTACGTGCAAGATGCAACGACTGCTGGGTATGGTGGGGTACACCTGTCATCTCAACACTCTGGGAAGCTGAGGCAGAAGGATCACAAGTTCAAACCCTTCCTGGGCACCTTGTGAGACTCTTGACTCAAAAACTATGAAGGGCTGAGGCTATAGCTCAGTACAAAGGCCCTGGGTTCAGATCCCAGTACTGCTTAAAAATAAAAAGCAATAGTGGCTTCAGGCTTCAGCACTGGCCCAAATCTGTACAGGGACTGAGACCTCTTTCACTGGGAATAGTGGGGCTCAGAGAGGGCACGTGGACTGTTGAAAGTTGCACAGCCATTGGCAGGAGATGCTGCAGGGCCTGGCGTTTGGCAGGGGTGGCGCCCACCTGTCACGGGGTCAGGGCTGTCCAGGAACCGGGGTGGCTGCCCCTGTAGCTGGAGGCTGAGCAGAAACTTCTGGCTCTTTTGGGCTGTGTGCAGCTGCAGAGGACAGTAGAGTAGGAAGAGCCCATGGGTCTGGGTCTTTGGCAGGAGTAGGGCTTGGGTGAGGGACCGGAAGTGGAGCAGGGAGGACGGGGCCTTTCCTCAGAAGTCACCCTACTCACCACCACACGGCTGCAGCGGATGGCAGACTCATTCACCCATACAGCCTCAAAGTTGTCCTCCAGCCCAAAGCTGCACTGCAGCGCTGCTCCCTGTAGGGACGGATGGAGGGACTGGGAGAGGCAGGCAGCACCATCCCAACACCCTCAGGGCACCCCCTTCATTGAGAGCGTTCCCAGCTGCCATGTCCAGAATTTGGGAAGGCAGAGACGTCCCGACCTCCCCAGGAGCCTAAACCAGGCCTGGACTCAGCTCAAACTGCCAGCTCCCTACCTCTGCCTTAGGATGCAGGCAATGCTCTGTCCCAGGGTCCCTTCTTCCTCCCCAAGGACAGCTGGTCCACTTTCTGCCTCTGGCAAGACGCACTGCAGTCCTGACTCCAGCTCAGACATCCCCTGCCCCCAAGCTCCTGACACCCGCCAATCAGAAAGGCACACCCATGGGATCCTGCATCCACCCACTTAGAAGTGGGTGTCAAGAACCCCTTCCTCATCTCCCACCCACTGCAGGGGGTTCCACAAAGCAGCTAGAAAAGCTCCAGTCAGGTTCGAGTCCCTCCTCTGCTCCTTCCTAAGCTGCATGGCCTTATCAAATCACCTCTCTTTGCAGAGCCTTTACTTACTTTTACTTTTTGGCTTTTCAAGACAGGTTCTCACTATGTACTACAGGCTGGTGTTGAACTCACTACTGGAGCCCAGGCTGGCCTAAAATGCACAGCAATGCTCCTACTTCAGCCTCCCAAGTGCTGGGATTACAGGCATTCACCACCACACCCAGCAACTTTTTTAGTGTACAATGTACAAAAGGGATTGGGAATCATTTCTCCTCCCTTGCAGAGTTGCTGGAAATTGGAGCTTGTATATCTTACAAGTTTACAAACCTTGGATGCTTAGAATTGATAACTAGGACAGGGTGTGTGGGAGGTGCTTAGCAAGTGTCTGCTGATGGAGAGGGCAGGCTCATCCTGCTCGCCTAGCAGCAGCAGCTGCACACATTGGTTGAGGGAGCGAGCTAGGGCGCCTTGGGTAAGACCGAGCCCCCTGCTGGCCATGTGCCAGGACATCCTGTCTGTGCTCCTGTTATGAGAGGGTCCACCCCGACAGACAGCAGGTTAGGCTCCTCTTTTAGGGTCCCAGCCGGAAGCAACACGGGCAACTGGCTGATGACACGGCACAGTACCCATCTGTATCCCGCAGAGTTGAGCTTAGGGGCACACATGGCCTGTGTGTCCCAGAGAGACGGATAACCTGGGGACAGGGGCCTGAGCCCTGGGGGTGGAGATGAGGGACCTGGGCCTGGGGACTGGGGCCAGGGCACCCCTCTCAACATGTCCCGATGCCCAGCACGCAGCCCCACATGTGACAAGTCGTCATGGCGGCTCCTTGTGGGAGCAGCAGATGGAGTCCCAGGAGCGGGACGGCTGGCTCCCTGCCAGGACTTGTCAACGCTTCCCACCCGGGACGCTGCGGGAGGGCGGGCGCGGGGGAAGCAAGAACTCAGCCATCTGCTCCCGCCTCAGTTTCCCCGCTGGACAGAGGGGAGGCTCCAGCCAACCTCACGGTAGACGCAGGCGGGGGGCAAGGTGGATGCCAGCGAACCAGCAAGGTCCACGTGGGAGTGAGCCACGCCCACCCTGATGACTGACATCCCGGACCCCGCCCACCTAAGCAACCAACACTGACTACAGACTCGTCATGCCCACCCCACTAAGGCAAACCGGGCTCTGCCCACCAAACGGTCCCACCCACCCCTTGACCAAACTCCGGTCACGCCCACACCAGAGTAAGGCCTCCCGGGCCCTGCCAACCAAGCTGTCCTGCCCACCCCTACCCCAGCCAGCACAGAACACGCCCACCCGTTGCCAGGGCAGGTTTTGTGCCCTCAGTCTGGGTACCCGCTGTCCCCCCTCCCTTCGCCCCCTCCTCTGTCCTGTGCAGCAGTCTGGATGGGGCCCAGCCCCAGGAACAGTGGCACGATCACGTGGGGACTCACGTGGAAGGAGACAGCGTTGGCCAGCTGCACGAGGATGTCCTGGGCTCCACCAGTGGGCGCAGGTGCCAGAGGAGAGGGAAGAGTCTGGGGACAGTCATGGGGGCTCTGGGGAATATGGAGGTTCGGTCACCACCCTGTGCTGGGCAATGCTGTGTGGAAGACACTGGTCCCCTGGCCAGGCTTCTGTCGCAAGCCTGCCCGGCAGGCTCAGGAGTGAGGCCTGTGTCTAGTGGGCCAGGCCACCTCCCAACCTTTGGGCCCTCTGCCCACCCCCCAGACTACCCTATTCTGGGGAACCCACAAGGCCCCATCCTGTCCAGTCCTGCTGTCTTGGCAGAGCCACCTGGGAGCCACATCTTCCCTCTTTGCAGTCCCTCTGCTTGCACATGTGGGGAAGGGGACAGCGGGGACAGGCAGGTGTCTCCTCCCTCTTCTGGTCCGACGTGCAGACCCCTGCAGGGCCTGCGAGCCCAGCCCCTCCACAGCCACCTGGCACTTGGTGAACTGCCTAGTTACGCAGGCTGGGAGGAAGCTGCCTCTTCTCTGGCCCACAGCAGTAACCCTCAAAAGACAGCCCTCCCACCACTCCCTGCTGCTCTTGCCCGGAGAACCTGGGGCAGGGATTCTGACTGGGTGTAGCCTTGGAAACCCCTCCTAGCTGTGAGCTCCTACACCTCTGTCATAAGCCAGCACAAAAATCCCCTCAAGAGAAGTTGTCTCTGGTCCCTAGGTACACAGTGGCCATCAATCCAAGGCCACTTAGTGACTTGTGTTAATTCTAGATTTCCCAGCCCTCCAGGTGGCCCATTTTACAGGGAGAGAAACAGGCCCAGGGTTAGGAGTCTGCCAGGGCTTACACAGCCACGAACCACACCCAAGGATTTTGGCCTTCAATGGGATAGCAGGATCACACTTGACTGGTTCTTCAGTGTCAAGGAAGATGTAAGGACTTGAAAAGATCTTCAACATGTTAAAGTTTTCATAGAATAGGATGGAACAAGGTGGTAAGGCCCTGCCGCGCTGGCTTACCCTGGGGTTGGGTGAGGCTTGGCACTGGGACTGGTTGGAGACGCAGGTGTGCTGCTCCGTGCACCAGAAGCAGGGCCAGCGTGCAGACAGGCAGCTGGTGCAGCTGGAAGACAGGCCTCAGACTCTGTTCCCGCCCTCACCTAAACCTGCCTGGGGACCCAGGCCCAGAAGGGAAGGGGCACAGGGTACCCTGTAAGGAGTGAGCTCCCCACCATCAGATGTATGCAAGGGGCCTGTAGGTGGGCACCAAGTGCAGGCAAGGAATCTCTATGGGGGTCTGCAGAGGCCTGGTGGGCAGGTGAGAGCTATGAACAAGGGCCTTCTGGGGACCCTGTCCCCCACACCCACAGGACACCAAGCCACTTACGCAGCACTGGGGGCCACATGGGCAACACGGCTGCAGTCGTAGATGGTGAAGTTGGCCGAGATGATGGCTTGCCCGCGGACCCTTAGGGACATCTCCACGGCCACATGGTCTGGAGGTCACAGGTGGGGACCTCAGAGGCCGAAAGTCAGGACTCATCCCAAGCCCTCTGGCCTCCCTCTACCCTTCACTCACCCTGCTGAGGTGGGAAGGCTGGGAAGCGGTCCCGGGGTAGGAGGTTGCAGTAGGCAATCTGGTGGCCATCGGCGGGGCCCGGCACTCGGGCTACCGTGAGGATGCCATTGCCGTAGTCGCAGGCCATCTCCAGGCCACTGAGGCTGGGCAGGCTGCCAGAGACCTGTAGGATCATGCCCTGGCGGCAGGGGACTTCAGTATAGGACAGGCAGCTCAGCCCCCTGGAGCCGACCTGCTGGAGCCTGCCCTGGGCAATGAGTGGCAGCACCTAGCCCTCAAGGCCGGAGGGTTGCACATCCCACGTGACTTCTGGGCCTCAGTTTCCCAGGCGGAAACACACTGTGCTCCCCCTGTCAAGGCCCACTGTTATCTGGCCAGGAGACTCCTTCATCTCCGGAGCCCTGCAACCTCATCCCCACACTTCCTGTGCCCCAAACCCCCTGCCAGGCCACCCAGCTCACCTCCCTGTACTTGCTCAGATGTCACTTCCACCACTTCCCTGTCCTGACCAGTCTGAAATGTCCACCCTTCCGCACTCCACCACTGGGCACTTTCACTTTTCTTGCCCTCTGCGTCACCAGTTTTATTTATTTATATTTTAAGACAGGGTCTCGCTATCCAGCCCACGCTGGCCTTGAATGCTCAGTGATCCTCCTGCCTCAGCCTCCCAAGTGCTGGGATGACAGTTGTACACCACCACACCCAGCTCTTTCACACTGTTCACAGCTGTGTCCCCAGTGTCAAGAATGTGCCTGGCACATGGGGGGTGCTCCAGTGAGCCGGGGGACCAGCCACCTCCCGGGGCTAGGATTTCCCCCTCTGGGAATCTGGCTGTGCTGGGCTCACTGTGTCACCTAACCAAAGGGACCCCTGCGGACTCACTGGGTGCTCCTGGTGCACGTCAATCTCAGCCGGCAGCACAGCCATGGCGGGGCAGCGGCTGGGGCCCTCACTGGCACTGGTCCAGAAGCGTGGATGGCTGGAGTTGGCGCAGTCCTGCTGCATGGTGCACCTGGGGATGGCACGGGTCAGGTCCCAGTCGGTGACTGCCTGCCACCCACCACCACCACCGCAGCCCTGGGCCTCACCGTGTCTCCAGGGCACACCAGCCACAGTAGGCGTCAGCCGCGCCCACGCAATCCCCACAGGTGGCATGCGCCTCACAGGCTGCGACCTTCACACGGGCCATCTGGGGGCAGAAGTGGGCACTGAGCAGGGGCCAGGAAACAGGCCTAATGCTCTCTGGGGGAGGGAAGGAGTCCAGCTGTGCACAGGCCAGGGGCTGCAGGCACCTGAGCGTGGGTCAGCCTTACCTGATGGGAAGTCATCAGGTAGAGGTAGCTGGGGTCCGTGGGGTCGAACTGCATTATGGGGTGTACGGGCTCCCCATAGGTCACTGTCACCATGTGCCGGCTGACCACTTGCATGCTCTCGTTCAGGCTGAGCTGGAGGGGGTGTGTGTCAGGCAGTGCCCAGCAGCTCCTGCCCATCCTGCCCCGGGACCCCATGTGTGCCAAACCGCTCTGGGCCTGGAGGCCTCACGGACAGGAATGAAGACCTGAGTCTGAATTCTGTGCAAATGTGCACATCATACAAGCTGCCTCTTCTCTAGTCCTACAGGACCAAGGGGCACAGAGAGGACACTGGCCACCCTCCTCATGCCTCCTCTGTCACCCACCTCACACGGGGAAAACTGAGGCCCAGAGAGGCCCGTATTTGCCAGCTGTGGCCCTGCCCCATCAAAGCTCCACAGCAGCTTCCAGCCCTTCAAAGATGGGGAAACTGAGTCTAGACTCACAGGGCTGGCCTGGGGCAGAGCCCAGGGATCCGGATGGAGGTCTACCCAGCTTCAGAGCCCCATGGGACCATCCTACCTTTAGGAGCCGCCCAGTGGTCGTGCCCAGGAAGACAGCCGTGTAGTTGTTGGCACTGGCCACAGCCACTGCAGTGAGGCCTGGGGCACGGAACACGGGGGTGGCCCTCAGAGGCTGCAGGATGGTCAGTGGGTGCTGCAGGTGGGCTGCGCCACAGTCTAGCTGCTCTGGCTGCAGCTGCAAGAGACACACAGGTCAGCTTAGCTCCAGAACCTTCCACAGGTACTGGCTGCCCCACAGGACAGGGTCTTGAGACTCACTGCCCCAGGTCCAGACACCAGCAGGACCCATCCCTACCCAGCGTGGCTCAGGCTCATGGGGACAAGACCAGTCTGATTTTGGAAGCTAAGGGAGAACACTGGGCCGGGTCACCCAGGAGGATAAGGCCGGAGGGCCGAGTCCATGCAAATTAGGGACTCTGTCAGAAGAGGGCTGGGTGTGACTCAGGAGTAGAGCAACCCTGGGGCCAGTCCCTAAGGACTGGAACAGAGGTTAGGACAGAGCAGGACCAACACCCTGCCCTCAGGCTGCCATTCCTGCCTGCCTCTGTTTACCAAGCATCCCAAGGGGTCTCCTCCCACCCCCGACCCTTAGCTGGCTTCACCTCTTCCCACATGGCCCCCATTTCAGCCAGGGCCCCAGGCCCCAGCAGCTTGGCCGACTCCAGGCTGAGCCCACTGTGTTGCTCAGGCCCCTCCTCACAGGAGCCAGGCAGTGGCAGAGGGCACCGGGCCCAGGCCACTCCTGAACCCGGGCCTCATGGGGGCTCCCAAGGGAGCTGGGTGCCCCGGGTCTGACAGGAGAGCACCCCCACACCTACTGCCTCCATAGATCCCCTGAGGAGACCCAAGGACACCATGCTCACAGGGCTGGCCGGTGCCAGGCCTGGCACAGTCACCCTGAACCCTGTGGCCCTGTAAGGTCCAATCTCGCAGACAAGGAAACTGAAGTACAGAAGACTGCCAGCTGCAATGCTGCATCACCCCCACACATGCCCACAGGTGGTCCCCATTGCCACCACTTGGGGCTCTGGGGTCCTGGCTGGCTTAAGGGTGCTGCTCTGAAGGGCTTGCTAGGTGCCCTGCAGTGCTGTCTGTGAGCCTGAGCCCCTGCTGTGTGCCCACGAGGTGTCGGCACAGTGGGCATCCAGGCTGGGCTACTGAAGCCCAGGCATGAGTGCTCTTGTGCCTGCGGGTGACCTGGGCCAGCCACCTCACTTCTCTGGCCCTCAGTTTACCCAGTGCAAGTGGGCACAGCAGCCATAGGGTGACGTGTCAGCCAACATGCCTGGCTTCTGACATGGGTGTTGCTATTGCTATTGCTGTAAAAGGAAATGGACTGCAGCTTGGTGGTGACCGCATGGCTGGCAGGACCCACCTCCAGAACAAGGAAGAGGTCCCCTCCTCGGCCCTCCCATGGTCCCCAGAGCTCCCAGAACAACCCCGGATCTGAAGTCTGCCCTGCTGAGCCCTTCACCCTCCATGCTAGCCACTCATGGGCACCCCCAGGCTGGGCCCCAGGACCTTTGCCTTTGCTTCCTCCTCTGCTGTTCCCACATGGCAGCCCCCTTGTCCCTGAGGATATTCTGGGGCCCTCGAGGACACCTGAAACCCAGGCCAGTGCCAAACCCTGCACACAGCTCCCTCCCAGCACACAGGCAGGGGAAGATAAGGTTTGGTTTATATACAAAGCACGGTTCAGAAAGTTGGGTGAATGTTCTCTCTCCCTCTCACCTCGGCGACCTCAGCACACAATTTCTGACGTCAGGAACATCATTGTGTGCTCAAAGGAAGTGCTATAGGCTCCTCTCTGCCGGGTCTGTGACTCCAGAGTCACTGCTCCAGGGCTGTGGGAGCCATGTCTGGGTGAATCCAAGGTGACCTGGACCCCATCCTGCACCCGGAGACACTTGGGGTGGTGGCTCAGTGAGGATGCGCCAGCGGGCAAGGGCTCCTGTTGGGTTGGCCTCGAGGGGGCCCAGAGCAGAGCAATTGGAAGCGGGTGGACTGCTGGCTTCCGGAATTTTCCACTGAACACTTGGGGCCTCGGCTGACCAAGGGGAACTGGCACCCGGGAGTGGACCGCAGATGGGGCGGCCCTGCAGCCTCCTTCTCCCCCAGTGCTGGGCCGTGGGTGGGCGGCGGTTATGTAACTGTTCATGAATATGGATTGCTTGGGCATTAAGAAATGGGCTGTGCGCAAATGAAAACTGCGAGCCCTGGGGGAGGGGACTCAGATGACACTGGTGAGGTTCTGTGCACCCAGCCCAGAGGTGGGGCTGGCTCAGGGGTGACCTGTGGGCCTTGAGAGGCACAGGCTGGGGCCCAGCCCTGCCGCCCGCCCTGACGTTCACAAGCCATTCATTCTGCCGAAGGAAT